GAAAAGCGTGACTAGATTTGAAGAAGTTGTTATTGCAATTTACGCTTTTCATTATCAGTTTACCTGCGATATTGTTCTCGCATTTATAGAGACTACATGACATTTTAACTTTTTAAACGTACGTGAAGCGTAGACCATCCCTTTGTGTGAATTTCGGTGTGTTTTAGTGAAGCAGTTTGCGTGTGGCACGCGTAAACGGCCTGTTAATATCTACCAGACACATGCGCCAAAGCTCAGCATCAGACGGCTGGGTTACGCGGTCTAATGCCTGGAAGAAGACAGAGAGCGAGGGAGTTTGGTCGATTCCTAGGGATAGTGTTCCAATGGTAATCAGTGGATCTTCCGCATTATAACCAATTAGATACGTCTTTCAGCTATCATGATGCGCTTAAAACCGTGACTTGGAAGCTTGCGAACTTGTGGAATAACTCAGTTTTCTCCTCTAGACGGAGAGTTAGGCTGCAATTACTCCTTCTTGAGGTAGTCTCTATGGCACGCTCACATAGTTAAGATCCGATCCGGCGTTTTCTTGGTTGCGTGTGAAAACTTTATCCATCGTGCTCAAACCAGGCGTCTCTGACATGCGTAGACAATCTGTTTAATTTTGTCCGCCCCTGTGCCCGATCCCGCCTCCGATCTTCTTGATTGTTGCTTGATACCGGGCTGAGGTGCGGGAGAAAGGCTGGACTGCGTTATACGCTGCGCAAGTCTACTATCACTACAAACTAAATCCCGCGCCAATCACCCTCCATGAACCCATCATACTGTGGGGCACACAATGAACACAATCAGAAACGGACAAAATGTCATGTACAGGATTAGTGATTTTAAAAAGTTCCGAAACTGTATGTGCCTATAGAGTCGGATGCAGCTTACAAAATAAAAACGTTGAACATTTTGAAAAAAATATAATTGTTCCTACTAATCTTACCTATTTTTCGTGAGATTTCATATGACGATTTCCGAACGCACTAAAGTTCGAAATAGTGACCATTAACTAAGTAAGTTTATCAGACTAACCTCAAAATTAAGATGGATATGCGGTCCCCTTTCACCGCTCAATATGTGCTTTCAATACTAACCTCCATGAATCAAACCCGATGGCTGGAAATACAATGGTGAGGATAACTCAGTCTTAGTCAAAAGTAGACGGGGTTAGCCGATTAATTTGGCTATTTACTGCTTTTAGAAGGGATACTAACATAAACGAAGAAGAATAGAAGGTTCACTTCTGGCTTGTGAGGCATCCACTGCCGCTAGGAGGAAGGAGCAAGGTTCTTCATAATATCATATTTTTGGGGCGTACATTTTACATAAACTTCCGGCTTTGTCTTACCCCCTTAATAATTCTGGAAAATCAAATTCAAAGCTTCAGAAGAGCCTAGAACGGCAGCATCCTCTGTGGGTCAGGGCTGCTATAGGTCACCAAATAGAATAGCAAAAAGAATAGCATTAATTGATGATCGCTCACCGATCAGTAACGGACCTCACTCGTCCTATTCTACCTGGGGGTCCCCTTTAATAACACAGGCAAATGAGCATTTCGAACAAAGACAAAGGAGACTGGAAATGCCATTTATGGCTCATTAGTCGTCATCAACTAGCCATACCAAACCCTAGGTGGTGCACCTCCCTAGACTCGAACCAGTGACCTGTTGACCAGGACTACAACGCCCCAACCCGCAGACCACATGTTCGAACCTCGGGTAATGCACCACCTGGGGTTGGTAATGGCTAACTGATGACGAAATAGCCATTAGTTCTCCTTGTCTTTTTTCAGAAATGTTCGTCTGCCAAAGAGAATAAGCCTAACAATTCTGCTTGAGTATGGTAAGTATTATTTTGCATATCATTTATCTACCCAAGTAGATTTACCATGTCTTGCTTTTTTAGACTGTGCTCTTAGTGTACGCCAAGCACAGAAGGTTTTGCATATTATGCGACTTTTCGTCCTCCTTGCCCTTTCAGGCCGATTGCCATCATCGACGTTTCTGGCGGAGGATCCGGTGCCGATGCAGACAAAGCTGCCTCGTAGTCTGGAGTCAAAGTTACCCCTATGGCTGTTGACCCTTCATTCGGGGGAGCGGTTCTGGGCCAAACTGGCCACCGGACCCCTGCCCAACCGAGAGGACTCGCAGGATAAGACCACTGACCAAAGTAGCCAGGACGTCACTAGCACGAGTACCTGCAGACCGGCTGCGACCAAGTGGTTAATAGATGGCTGCACTTGCTTCCATGTCCGACGCATGTTCGATCCCTCCACCGGACAGACCCTCTGCACCCGTTTCGTGGATGATCTTTTACGCGTGGAAAAGGGTCCCGAAGGGCGTGAGGGCGTCACGGTACAGCATCTGGACGGAACCCGTCAGACCACCCTATACTACACGAACGGCGTATGTTTCAGCCAGCTTCTTGTTTGCGCAGGCCACATCCAGGCATGAGTTCAACCTTACGTGCCGTGGCCTCCACTTAATTTAAACTTTTTGAAAAGTATGAATACGACCGGGTATGTCTGGAAGGTCCTTCGGATAATTCCAGGTACCGAGTGGATCGTTGTATCCAAAGTTATTCAGCCTCCCCTTGTGGACTACACTGGTGAAGTTCGGTGTGCCGCGAGCCGTCGTAATGATGAGCGAAGTTCTTTTTACGAACAGATATGTGGACTTATGGCGTTAGAGTTGTTTTATATGGAATGTAGTTTCAGCGTTGGAGCGTCGCCTAGAAATAAGACTCCGACGCTTCTGCCCCGGCTGGTGTTTTTGTTCGTGTTTTGACTAGCTTTTTCTTCAGATCGCTAAACTGTATAAAAAACTGCTTAGTGTTAAGCACCTTAGACTGTAAATCATTCAATGAAATGTTTCGAAACGATTTTGAGTAGAATCCAATGATTGGAGTAGGTCGTGAGGTCGATAGGCATGAAACATAGTTCAAACTCGATTCTAGTAGGCTGACTCTTGACCAAATATAATTCAAGCCGTCTGTGTAAAGCATCTTCAGAAAAACTCAATACCTTTCCATTATTTTCCATGTCGGCATAAACTGAGAACTATTTCACGGAATTTATATGCAAACGGTATATTTCAAATATTCAATTATGGGTTACTAGTCCTCTCGGAGTATTGTCCGAAGAGAAAGAAGTATTTATAAGATAAAGACGCGATCTCTGGAACGGCAATTTTATTGTTGTGAGCTTTCGGCTCCGCAAGAAAGGCCATCGTCAGAGAAAATGAGAAAGCAGCAAACGTTGGCTACGCTTGGCTATAAACCGTGGTGCTGAGCTCCTCGTTGGGTGAGCGCTTGACAAGGACATCCAGGAACGGCAGTTGTCCGGCACTCTCTTCTTCCTTTGTGAATTGGATGTCAGGAAAGATGCCATTAGGCAGGTTTTGGAAGTATGCTAGCCTGCTCCATTCGATTATAACTAAAGTAATGTCCACGTATCGGCACTGGAATACAGGTTCGAATTGATCGAAGACAACTTCTTCCAGCTCCTGTAAGACCAGTTCAAAGTCCAAAGAAACGTTTTTTTACGTTTAATGGCAGAACATATAAACAGACCAAAAGGATGACAATGGGATCCCCAATTTCCAGTCTCATAGCAGAACTGGTTTTACAGGAGCTGGACAACTGCCGTTCCTGGATGTCGTTGTCATGGGGAACTCAGCACTACGGTTTATAGAAAGGCGACTAACACAACCAAGGCGCTCAGCTTCCATAGCAGCCATCCAATAGCGCACAAACGTAGCCGTACTAGAGCACTCTTTCAGAGGGTGAAGGCGCAGTGCCTTGAACCTGAGGTGCGAGTGCAAGAACTGCGATATCTTCGGGGTCAAACTGTCAGGAATAGATATCCGAACAACTTCATCAGCCGCTGCCTCCGTATGCGCCCACGGGGAACAAACGAAGGAGAGCCCTAACGCTCTGGTGATCTCTAACGTACATACAATATGTCAGAAGCAACTGAACGTATCGCTGCAGAGCTCGGCGTGGGTATTGCTCATCGTGCGACAGCTACCATGCGTTCACGAGTCCTGCAAAGAAAAGAGCCACTGGAGATATGTGAGCAGTCTGGCGTCGTTTATCAGGTGCCATGTCGCGACTGTTCTTGCCATTATACAAGACAGACTGGACGACGACTTAACTCGCGAATAACGGAACAATACTGGACAGTGCGGAGAGGCGACCTACTGTTCCAGATCGCTACCCGCACTCTGGAAGAGGGTCACGAATTCGACTTCTCGAGCACATGGATAATAGCAAGCGCCGCTAATAAGACGGGGCGAACAGTACTGGAGGCCTGGGTGTCGGACTCCAACTCTATCAACAGGCATGTGGATATACCGCCCTGTTATTTTGCCATCCGTTCTTGCGACCAGAAGCCACGGCGCACTTCCTGTCCAATCACACAGGCTGTCACGCCAAGGACGCGAGACACGGCGCCAAGCTCGCACGCCGTAACTCCAAGGGCGCGCGCATGGGACACACGATAAGATGGCGTGAGCATGGACCAATCACAAATGCTACCATCTCCCCCACCCCTATTTACGTGTAGCCAACGTTTGCTGCTTTCTCATTTTCTCTGACGATAGCCTTTCTTGTGGAGCCGAAAGCTCAGAACAATAAATTGCCTTTCCATAGATCGCGTCTTCTTCTCCTTTACAACAAGAACCCGGGGCACGCATATTTCTTTCTATTCGTGAGAAGTATTTATGAATTTCGAATTATTGTGGATATTAACCTTTGAGAGTTCACTTACAGCCGGCTAGTTTCATTTGCGTTAAAGGCCCTTACCCACTATACTAGACCAGCCTTATCTGTTTCACTATTTACTATTTTAGGCTAATTTTCCTTTCCAACTTTAAGAACAGCGGAAACGCTAGTTATATTTAAAAACATCAGGTACAGAGTATTTCCAGAAAATCAAATGTCAAATGAGCTTTTGGGTCCTGAAGGTGAATTGGTTTCCTTTAAAGTAGGAGTGCATAAATGCGCGACGAAGGTTTATCAAAAACGTGTCCTATCGTTATATTTCACATACATTTTTATAAGTTTTATTAAGACCATTAAGGACACCTGCGGTATTTTATTGCAGCGCAAATTATGTTGCTGTTTATGACGTTTTTTGGTCAAAAATAATTGTATGGTTACTCAGTGGATCTTACATAGTGTAAGCTGTGAATATAGATATAGTTTATGCAAAACGTTTCTTATTCTAAAAGTATGGAATTATGATGGTGTGGGAGTCACTTATCAGGTTCGGGAACATACATATCCCGTTGTGCCCTGCGTTTCACTTTAAAACGCTCACAGGCACTCGCATTACGACTTGTCGAAAATTATGATAAGGTGGAAAGGACAAAGACAGGAGATAACGCAATGGCCATTCCTGACTTATTAGCCAGTCATACCCGATCCCAGATGTGGATCATCCGAGATTTGAACCCGCGACCTTCGACCATTGAGTGCAACACTAACATTGATCCATGTGTCCGTTTGGTTTGTCGGTATGGAAGTGCCGTTAGTGTTTTCGGCGATTAAAGAACGGCAGCTGAGGCGATTAATTGTAATGCAACTTAAGATGTTGTTTATTCTGTTTTTTTATTTAATTATTTATTGTTATTATTTCTTAACCTATTAGTTGATTTATTTGATTATTTGTTTGTATACTAAATTAAATGGTATGGTAAAAATAGACTTTTAAGTCTTCGCACATTCTATAATCATGAACAACACAGGGGTTAGAGTTGGCTTGCAACGCCAAAGCCCTCGAATGCCCTCAAAAAACAAGTGTCATATTTCTTCACAGGAGGATTCCAACTGTCAGGAAAAGAGCAGATTCGTGCGGGTCGAATGCCCTGGATTCCCCGCGGTCGTCATTAACCCGGCGAGGAACGAAATGAAAGTTCTACTGGTCAGTGCTGAAGGCACCAGAGCTCTCGCCTTTGCAGACCCCCAAGGCTACTTCGCCTACAGGGTTGGTAGTTTTTTGGATCATATCTTCCCTTTTTCGTACTTCAGTCACTTTCCATTGGCAGACATTCTGTGCGCTAGGAGGAAGTTGAACCACGTAGTGTTTTTTTGGTCTGCAGTCCTAGGTTGTACATACCCATTCACCCAAGCATATTCTATGACAGCCTCAGACTTGTGCTACAGAAAGTGTCGAATTAGTTTGTATAATGTCTGTGCGATAGGACAAGCGTGTTTTTCTTCGTTGCACGATCGTAGTCTTGCTACTGCATTCGAGCAAATTCTACAGCAGCCTTGGACGTGTGCCACAAGAGGAGTTGAATAATTGCCCTGCCAGCCTTTCGGTGTAATTTTTATTTTGTGAGGAATTCTGAAAAGACTTAAATTGAAGATTATTTGGACAGGAGACGGTCACGTCGTCGAACAATCGGGGTCGCCAGTCATCTCCGCAGTCAACGTGGGCAGGGGTTAAACAAGAGATGATGAGACGTGGGTCGAATGCATTTCCACAGTCGGTATTGGCAGACTACGTCCAAGGCAAAAGGGCGGCATCTGATGCAAGCTGCGTGCATGAGTTTTCAGTCTCTCAAGACGAGTAGGCGAAATCACTACTCGAGACGTCTGAAGTCCAATAAACTTCTCCCGGTGAACGTTTCTTCAGCTTTTGAAAACGTTGTACTATGCACAGACATAATGGAGTTCTCTCATCACAATTAATGAAGGCTACCACTACTTTGCGAGGGTGCACTGAAACAGATTTGCGCCTCGAACGAAGCTAAACAATCTATGCGTGCCGTAAACGACTTGGCCAGATTGTATTACGGCAGTCTCGAATCTCACGAGGGCGGTGGAAGTGCTAAAGAATAAATTGAAAAGAAGCCATTGCAGTCGCGTTATTCCATCAGTTGGCATCCGTTCAAGCCTTGACGGTTACCAAATTAGGTTGCTTGTAGTGAGGCCTTTATACTAGGTATAAATTTCATAGGCCTCAGTGACACTTTCCTCTACAGTACACGAGTGACCTCACCGAAAAAACCGATCAGAGATGCGACTGGACCCCATGGCCTACGTAACTTAAAGACACTATTTATTACGTATCGCACACTGTCCCGGGTCCAATAGAAGAAAGATGCCAAAGAGACCACATTAAAACAGAGACATTTTTGTCTGGTTCTTCCTCCACATGTACCGTATTTATTAAAACGAGGAGGAATGCATTGAGTTAGCCGAAGCTGCACACTAGTTGTCTCCTTCCAACTAGGTAACTAGCTGAAATTGGGTACACTCGGAAGCCAATATTCCCGGCAATCGTTACATGTCCGCTTTTGTTATGGTGTTCGTTAGGTGGAGATTAAATAGGTCAACGCCAATTATTCTTGCCTTGGTGGTTTTGTCATGGCCAGCTTATGACGGAGGTTGAATAGGTTACGTTGGTTCGAGTCTTAATCTTGATGTTATGTCGATGCTTGCAGTAGGCATCTACCAGAATTGCGCCAAACCTGGGCACCATCATAAGTAGGCAACTTATTTACGTGTGATGGCTGAAATAGTCAATTTTCCAAGGACTTTTACGGGCACTGACCATTTAAATGGCAATTATGTAGAACGATTTTCCAACAAACTCTGTTCACAAGTCCTCTCTTGATGCCACCGGATCAGTTAGGCCAATTTTCACACAAGTGGGAATGTTCACAACTGAGGGTATCGCAGAAACTTGTAATTCGTTTCATCTTGTAAGTGATAAATCGGGCCCTAGGCGCACGCATTCTGCCCCTGGTTAGGTATCTGATAGCTTAAATTTTCGAACTTGGTTTACTTGTCACTTAGACTCCATTAGGCATTTTGGACTATTTACACACATTCCATCAACGTTTAAGCGTAATATATGATTTCTTTTGGCCAGACATAAGTGTTGCCCATTCAGTGGGTGTGTCATTCATGTGAACTTTTGTCGGTTTTTCTGAAATTTGAATGATTGCTTCTATATCGTTTTCTGGCGAATTTCGTTAAGTTTTAAGCTCTGTACATTTTGAGACACGCATCTGCTAGGACGCGGATGGAAACCACCTATAATGAGCTAGCATCGCGTTAAATTTCAGAAAGATCAGGGTTACAGTTAGGGTTAATGGTTGGTTAAGATTTACTGCCAGGGTTATGATCAGAACACGACAATAGTTATCCTTCCTGAAATTTACCGTTAGACTGTCCGTGGTCCTGGGGGTTTCTTGTTCCCGAGCCTTACCGACAATCCTTTTTAATTATCCAGCAATTGTAGCACGTGCTTAAGGATATGCGAACAGTTAACAGAAGCAGAATACAAACACACACAAAAATGAATGAAAAATTTAAACTTGGAACCGAGATCTAAGATAAGATGCGTCAACATAGAATCTGCTACTTAACTAACCATTTTTTTACCCTATTTGTGGATAACTTAGTCATGACCTAACCAAGAACCTCAAACATTTGAAATTTAAAACTGCGTTAGGCCTTTTGAAATGAAAGGAAGTAGCTCTCCAGAAAACCGAGCGTACATTGCATCGGCTACAATCAGAGAAGCTGACATCACCTGTGTCATCACTTGGAAAGACAAACCTTTTGAAAGAACGTCTGATGTGCTTTTGCAAGCCAAACTCATTTCCTCCCCTATAGACAAACAAGAAAACTTGTGCCGTTGGAGTAACAACAAGCTCCGTTACATATGCATGGGATTATTCGTAAGTAGCATCATACAAATATCTTTGTTAAGGCCAAACGGAACGCATATATTGCGCCTTTTTAAGAATGAGTGATATAATTGAGGTATAACATACTAGCAATGAAAATTATGTCAGAGGCAGCTGTTTTAATCTCCCTTTTCATGTAAAAACATTCTTATGACGGTTCTGTGATCTATTGAAGGTATCTTGAGGAGTTTCGGTTCTGCATTCCTCATACCTTAGTGTGTTCATTTGTACCCTTTGTACCGAAAATGATTTTACACTTCCCGAAAACGTTCCTCTCAAATACTGACTGTACTATCCGAATCAAAGCGGTTAACGAGTTCCCCCCAAAGTGTCCAAATAAATGAAGTCAACCAGCAAAAATTTCAATCCCAAAGCTCGCAAGGACACTTAGAGACTGCAAAGTCATCTACACATCTCTCTGTATTGTCTTGGCTGTTAAAATAACGGTGGGTGGAAGCATAATAGGCCAGTCCATTCAAAAAATTGCTGGGGAAGACTACTATTATGCAAAAACCTTGGTAATGGGGAATCTACGGGGGAGATATGTTGCGGAAGCGTAAAAGGACCAAGAAAGATGGTATAAAAGTGATGACGGAAGCCTCATAGGCTAGGTCTTGTGGGCTTAAAAAGTGGCAGTGGCAGAAGGCCGACCGAAAGGATAACTGTGAGTGGCGGAAAAGAAAATCAGGCCATTCACTCGCCGCAAACCTCAAACTAACCCTAACCATAAAACTCGCCTTAGTCCTAGACATTTCATTAAAGACGACCATAAAATCAAAACTTACCCTAGGCCTAAAAATAACTTCAACTCAAAACTAGCCCTAATCCTAAAACTAAACCTGATCATAGGTCTAAAACTAACTCTGATCTTAAAATTCACCTTAAACGTAAAACTATCCTAAAGTGCAATCCTAAAACTTATCCCAAAATGCAAACAAAATCCAACCCTGAAGCCAACCCTAACATTTAAAATAACTGAATTCCTAACGCTATGTGCAAACCGCTCCGTAAAACAACTCCCCAAATGAGGCTTGGGCGGCCAGGATAGCAAGAGGTCTTCATCTAACCTCCACAGTACAGCACGAGGGTTTAAACTACCACCCGGAAAACTTCGGACCTATGCCGCTACCCGGCTTAAGGCCCAAGCATCGACATCGGGTACCCGTCGTGCCTATAGGCAACGCGATTAAATTAAAGAAATCCGTATTTTTACAATTGATAGAATGCACACTGCAAACAACTTCATTAGTATTAAAAAAAAGATTCATCAGGTGCGTTCGCCTGTTGTGCTTTCACCTTATTGTTAAACTCCTGAGAGCATAAGCTAAATAAAGACGTCTAGAGCGGCTTAAGTTTGCGAAAAATACGTTTGACGAAACGTCGAAAGTTCTGGGTCTTTGCGTAAACTTTGAATGAGTAGGGCGCTTTGCAAAGCCGGTTCTATTCGGTTGCTTTCTGCTAACTCTGTGCTGATATTGAAATAACGGTTACTTTTTCTGAGTAAAAACTGTTCTCTTGTTTTCTTCAGTTCTATGAGAGAATTTCTCTCACGTTCGTCGATTTTAGTCGTACTTAGATTGGACACGGGTATATAGATAGAGTGGCCCAAAATAATGGGGTTGGAAAGAGTTAGGGTTAAATCTGGGGCGCGGAGGTTTTGTACTGCCCAGGCATTTACTGTAAGTACGTCCACATTTTCGTACCCGAGCCTTACTTCTTATAATATCTCTAGGATTGAATGTTTTGTTTAACGATTAGCTCAGTCGGAATATGCGACAGGACTTGGAAAGGGTTTTAATTCCACAATTCAGATGACTGCATTATTTACATTAACTGGATAGAATTAAACTCTGATCGCTCTTAGTTATTCTAAAGCCTAACATAACACATCCATTTTGAAACTGCGTCTGCTTTTATCTATCAATGAAAGCTTTCATTCATTCGTTGATGAGCACTAACAGACCTCACTCGTCCCGCTCTGTTTTGAGGCTCACTTTCTAGACCAACAACCGCACAGAGCCTGGCTGTTTTAGGCAGATAATACTGCCAATAAAGAATGTCTTCCTTGTTCTTTCTGGTAGTGCTTTCTGCCCAAAACTTCCTTTTATTCTGACATGCGAATAATTAAATTCTCGTGTTTCATTTGTTAAGCCTTGTCTATGTTTAGTCTTAGAAAGTTTTATTTTCAGCCTCTGTTCAAGACAATTTCGCTGGTTAAGTGCATGACCGTATTAAGTAGATATTGTCTAAGCATTTCAGAAGACCACAAAATAACTATTGCCCTATGTCAAAGTAAGGTCTTTAAGGAGAAGGCTACTAACACCATCTATACCGTTGTTTTTCCACTTTCCTAGTGTGGAGATAAGAGCGAGGTGCAGTTCCACCACAATGGGAACGTCGTATACATGACACACGGAACCACCACCTCCGCAGAAAATCACATTTCCAATTACGTATTCTCGTTCCTCAAGTCGGAGAATTTGCTCGAAGTGACTGATTCTGAGAATAACACATTCTCGGTTGACAATTTTGGCAATTGTAATGCTCTGTTGGATGGTAAGTATAACTTCATTTCATGTTGCAATCAGCAATTCTTACGAAATATTTAATTCCTCCTTCGTTAACCCACTTATGGTAAGGCAGGAGCTCAAAGGCGTTACTCTACCTTTTCCTTAATAAAACTGAACTAATAAACTGAACTGAATGGCAAACCCCGATAAAAACAGATAGCCTTGCTTTAATTGCTGATGTCTGTGTCCTTACCCCAACGCTAATCCCAACCTTAAACGTGCTTATAACCCTTATCCTTATTCCAATCAGCCTGGCATTTAGCAAAAAGCCACCTCGTGCAAGGGAGGCTCGTATTCACGTGCCTTGCCATACTACGTTCTAACCTTTTTCGAAAAACACACAGACTGGGCCTGTGTATATTCCCGCCTCTTTTGCAATGGAGCGGTGCGAGTTGGGGACTAAAATATGTTTTAAGAAAGGAAATAATGTACCTGGAATGTGCGCCGAGGGCCGTGGAGACGGAAACCCCGAAATGGACTTCACTCACTCTTTCCACTCCTATTCACCAGTCGTATGTGCGAGCCAGTCGGTCAGCTGATGCAGAAACTAGACACAGGGGGCTGGCGTGGCTTGATCCGGCACCTTGGCATACCACTTTACCCCTCCACGTGTGGCATTTGTTTTGAGTGCGCAATCTAACTAACGCCTGCCGCGGGCTGATCTAGTCCCATGTTACTTTAGCGCAGCTCCCGCATGACGGAAATATGACAGTTCCACCATCAATTTTGGCGAGGTCCACCGGGTGTTCCACAGAAGGGTAGTGCAAGGATGGTGACTTGCACTGGATTATAGTGAAAGTAAACTTGCGTTGCATCAACTTCACTCATATCCCACTCCCCCACCTGGGCCCAGTGTCAAGACAAAGTCAAGAAGGCCTAAAGTGGGAGAGTGTGCAGGCCCACGCACTGTGGCTTAACGCAAACAGAAAACCACAGCCAAGTAGGGGGTGTCTAGGACCCCCTAAGTGGAAGTGCCATAAAGGTCACGTTAAGAAGAAGCCATCTCAGCCTGACTCTCAGTCCACTAGTTGGACAATCCACACAATACAACACACACTGGACTGACCGCGCAGTCCGAGTGATCCTGTCAGTTGGCAACTTTTCAAGTCACGGCTTTTAGCGCACCGGGAGGGGACGGAAATATAAATGCATTTACACAAACATCAAATATCGATGGAAAAAATATTCATACAGTGGAGCCTCGGGCGACGAGCAGCCCCATATACGAGCATTTCGGGTAACGAGCGAGCCACTAGCAGAAAATTTGTTTCGAGTGACGAGCTTCCGCTCAGTTAACGAGCTGTGAGTGCGTGTGTATGTCTGGGTCCGTCGTTGAGTCTTGCTCCCAGGACGTGTGTCTCCGGTCGCCTGCAGACAATCTGTGAACTGATGCTTTTCGATTGGCTAGGTTTTGCAAGGCGACTGTTTAACATGAAGAGCTCGGCGCCAGAACGGATTAAACTCAGTAACTGAGGTTCCACTGTAGTATTTTTTTCCAGGACGTATTTTACGCAGATGTCAGCCAGCATGCTCAACCAAGGGCATGCCCAATTTAAGGCTTAAAATAACTAAGGCTAATTGTCCACTCTCAACATTCTTGTTACGTTATTAAGGCAACTTTTTATCCTCAAGTATATTTTCACATAGCAGTCAGAAACAGGAGGTTAGTCACCCAATTTAAATATAAAAATAGTTTACTTATCCTAAAAAGTATTTAAAAATAACAGTTGGAAGTGTCAAGGTGAGTTGTTAGTTTGTAACGATTGACATGGAACAAAAAACATTCATAAATAAAAGGTATCTGCTACTGCTCTCTGCTTATGTCTCTGAGGAGGAATCCGCGACAGATCTCGAAACGTCAGGCGAATAAAAGTATTATCCCAGCGATCAAGTCGTCTCCTTTTCTAAAAGGTTATCACTTAAACCATTACATTAGGAAACAGAAGGTGAGTACAGGACGCATCACATCATTTTCCGAACCGATGGTGCTCTCGGGGCTCCCAAGAGCAATTTCAGGCCTCTCACAGAGGGGAACTTTCAAACTGCGATTGGTTTGACGTCCCATCACTAGTTCTATCATTTATTCTGCGTTTACAGATAAGGGGCAGTTCGTGGAGGCAGATGCGCACCAAGGGCAAGGTGGCGTGACTCCACCCCTCTATAAGGACGTTGTTAATCGCCACCCGCAGGCCTTCCACTTCTTTTCAGTCTCTGCTGACGGGCAGACCATCATCGAGCATATCAGCCCATACGAATCCGCACGCTTACGCCGGGATGCAGGGGATTTTTTTACAGAGTTGTCCAGCAAGACCGTGGGATTGCCTGAAATATCAGCATCAGACTTCTCTTCCGAGAGTTGCGATGCATTTGCAAATGATTCTTTTGCATCTGGGGTAGGTCAACATTAGGATAATCCCATCTTATCTTTTTTTATCATGTAGGCAGTAGCCAGAACTACTTTGAACTGCGCCAAAATTCCTTTCTTGGTCATCATAAGTGCCTCAAGTTATAAGTGTTGCTTTATAAATGTTTTTATCAAACAGGCCAGTAATTCAAAGAGTGTAATATCCGAGTGTAATATTCTTCCAAAAATGCACTTTCTCCCTGAAGAAGTATAACCTCAACTACAAGTATCGACGAAAAGAATGGTCTAACATGAAAGAACGGGTCCAACTTTTAAACTAATTCTCGAGTGATTGCGTACTTACGGGCGCCCATCCCTCGATTTTTCGAGGCAACAAAGTCTAGCGGTAAACCTCTACCGTACGAGAGCTCTTTCTAGAACCCTGCATACAGTTAGGCATCATTAGACTCGACTCGTTTTGAATCGAAACGCGAAATACGGCAACTCAGTATTCCCTTATCGTGCTTTAAGCTATGGTGAGTAAACATTCGGATTAAGCGGACTGTTGCATTTTAAACGCTCTAAAACAAACCAGCTTTCAAAGGCCAGTTTGCGAGACGTTACTGCGGCTATTACTGTCTCTCGAAGCATATACCCACCAGTTTAAATATCTCCGACTCCCGCACATGCCTGTGCTGTAAAAAGCGTTAGATATTTTAATTCCTAGCTCTAAAATTTAATGATTAAGCTCTAATCCTTATCACGCATCTTTTATCATTTGTTCTTTATTACACAATTCTTTTTTAGATATATAATCCAAATTTTCTGCTGTAGTTATGCACCACGTTATACTTGTTTTCTACCACTAGTAAGTATATGTCATTGTACGGCATATAGTCGCCGTCCGAGGCTTGTTACAAAACCAGGCAATGCATTTATTCGTGCGGCCGGCCAGTAAAATTTGAACCCCAATCTCTACGCCCGAGTTGCGAAGAAAACTATCCATTTCCACTCGACAGTCAGGTTTACCGATAAGTGTCGGCGTCTTGTGAGTATAATACGATAATCTTTAAAATGTGCTGCAGTAGTAAACAATTAGACCCGCTTATGGTAATGGCAAAATGTTCACATGTATCAACGATCATTGACGCAACATTTCAGCAAGAGACTGGCCGCCTAAAGTAGAATTGTTTCATTTTATTGAACAGAAACGTCAAATACTTAGAAAACAGTCCCTGGTCCACAGTTTTACGCTCGGGATGATCGAGCTGGAACTCTTTTCCACCCAACAGAGACATATCCGTAGAGGTTCATCGAGGATAGGGCAGTCGTGCTGGAATTCTAGTAAATTGGGCTTAACGACCCTGAAAAGAAGCAGCGGCGATAGATGTTTAAGCTGAAGAGTAGCGAACTGTTTGTACTCAGTTATTTTGCAAGAATAACAGCGCTGCATTGTCGAATTGCAAACGTGATACTTAGTTTTTTTACTTGTGCTTACGGTAGTAACTAGAATGGGGATGCAGAAGAGTAGGTAACAAAAAATTGTTCTACCACCTTAGATATCCCTAGTCCCAGATTTCTGTCTTCCAGGACAGCTGGTATAAGTATAGTTTAGTTTTCAGTTTGTAATTTAGTTTATTAGTTTAACTTTGGTTTAAGGGAAGTTTATGTTTAGTTTTGTTTGGCTTAGCTTAGCACATTTTACTTCGTTTAGTTTAGTATATCATAGTGAGTTAGGTGTATTTGTCCAACTTTGGTGGCATCTAAGAAAATTAAACTAAAACTAAAATTAAACTAATAAACTTAAGACTAAGCTTAACAAAAGCTAATAAAACTAAAAATAACCGTAGGACTAGAGGCTAAGGGTATATAACTTGGCAGATCAACTGTATTTTTACCAAGGGTTGCCATATAAACACTGATATGTTGCTCAACCTGTTAACGATTTGTTCGATCAATGTCTAAATTACCTTAAAATGGGAACTGTCCCGTACAAAATATCTTTTCATATATTCAACTATAAAATAGAAGTTTGGCGATGATCACGTCAGACAAAAATTCAAACTGCAGGTACGGTAAGTCATGTTTGGTAAACCTCTCGCGATTTAGTTACTCTTTCCTTAAAATAGAAACAAGTTCAGATGCACAAATTAAATTTATAGCATCTATTAACACAGGAAATTGCTCGAATATAATATATTATATATTGCTTATCAGATGTGTGAACACTTCGATTGATAAAAGTACTTGAAAACATGAACTGGAAAGTTGGCATCCCAAGAAGGCATCCCAAAGAACTTTCGGCATCCCAAAGAACTTCTTCTACCGAACTTGAAAACATCTTTTGCAAAATGGACATTTTTTCCTGCGCTAGCTAAAGGCCTAGTTAAAGTGCATGGTATTTGTTGTGCCTGAAATGTATACTGTCAATTCCCGTCATCACGATTAACGAAATAGTTAACATTCTGTACGTTAAGCACTTTAGCCGATGCCTTATACTTTTCGCTGAATACTGAATGTCTCTTATCATAACAGGAAAGACGGCTCACCACTTCGAATACCGGGAGTGTTGATCGGTTATATCCCCGAGGTCATCAGACTATCTACATGGAGCCGTCCATCATTCCATCCGGTTTGACAATACAGAACCTGAACTTTGCTCTTATGAATTCGAAAGGCAGCAGAAGAAGTGGTACATCTGACGGAACTATAGCAGTTAACCTCGACGCAGTTCATATGCCATGCGACCATAAAGTCTACAGAAGGCGCTACCACAAAGAACCACTCAGCCCGCAGAAGCGTGAAAGGTCAACCTACGAGTCATTGATTTTTTTAACTTTTTTTCATCGGTCGGCCCTTTCGTCATTGAGAACAAATTAATACTGTGATAGTGAATTGACTGCAGTTTGTATGTCCAGACGGCGAGAACGGAAAAGCATAAGTTAAACAAGGCAACTGTTCTGTGCCAGAACCGTACGAAAAATACATTTGACTTTAACTGGCGTGAACAGAGGCAAAGTCGATTATTATTATCGTCTCTGTGTGTGTTGTGTATAGTGGCTGACTGACGGACCGACTGAGAGTCAGGCTGTGATCACTCCTTTTTAACTTAGCCTTTATGGCATTCCCACGCAGCTGGGATCCGAGCC